AAAAAAAAATATACAACTTGGATTTTACTTGTTGTCGTAAACGTTTTTTTTTAATTTATGGCTTACTATTATAAAATCACATAACGCAAGTGGACTACTCATATATGTATATCGAAATAAAATTGTGCCATATGGCTAAGGGCCACCCTAGTGTATACGATAACTCGAGTAAACATTGAGATATCTCAACGAAATTTGGTATTTGGGTTGATCCTTATCCAAGGCAGGTATTGAAAATGGGCGAAATCGGACTGTAACCACGCCCACTTCCCAATTAACGGTATTTTCGAAATCGGTAACCGATTTATCAATTTCTACCAAACTCGGTGCACCTAATAACTTTAGTACGGGAAATCAATTCGTTGAAAATTATTCAAATCGGACTAAAATTACACTCGCTTCCTGTATAATGGTAAATTTCAGATATACACGGTCAAAAATTTGGGTTTAATTTTTAAACCGCGCTGTGACTACTGCCTTTTTTAATCTTTTATAGTCTCCTTTTTAAACCAGTCAATAGTTTTAAGCAATTTTTAATATATTCTGGTTTAAATTTTAGCCCAAAAAGTTCGTGGTTTGAAAATCAAACCAAATTGTTTTAATGCTAGTATATAGGTTTCATATATAGAAAATTTGGTTTAAAATAAACCGAAATAGAAAATGTTTGCACACAGCGAGATGTGGTGTTGATTCAAACTCAACATATGAAAGCACATTTATGTACATGCGTGGCTGTCGCTGAGTGTGCTAAGATGCTTGATACAATTGGTTGCTACCAAGGCTGTCCAGGTTCAATCCCCATCAGACCTTTTTGTTTTTAATTTTTAATTATGAAAATGTTTGGGTTTAAAATTTAAACCGAACTGTTTAAATTCTAAGCCCAACATATGTGCTCTATTTTTTTTAAACTTGGACGGTTTGTATTTGAAACTACATTTAGTTTGGTCATATATGTATGTAGTCCAAAAAGTTTAAAATTAAAACCGAAATTTTTAACCGTGTACGGAAACTCTGATATTTCAATAATTGAGGACGCTTTTTTACTCCAAGTTAATACCTACAACAATTTCTTAACAATAAATAGGACTGTTCTAGACTTTTAGGAATTGGGCGTGGCACCGCCCAATTTATTTCATTAAGTATCACTCAGCATATTATCGAACACGTTTGAAATCGTATCATGCAAAGGTAATTTAGAGAAAGTTGAAACGACGATATTTGATCCCGGCTTCGGCCGAATTTATACTTCCTTTCTTGTTCATTTGTTTTTCTGTATATGTATGTAGGTATAAATATACATATACAGTATATGGTAAAATTTTTTGTCTTTGACGTTATAGTCGCACGTACATTTCTGTATATATTTCTGAAACGTGGTGCAAACACCGAAAGTTTTTCATTTATCCTGGGAAGTCCACTATATATAATGCTACCTGACGTTAGCACCTCATTAGAATAAATATTAAGATTCGATAGTTCGTCGATTTTTCTTTACTGGTCGTCCATTTTTAACGTTTGTTCGTTAGACACACATTAATAATTAATTTTTCAATTTTCACTTTACGTTATTCCTGCATCTAGCCCCTCCTGCAGATTATTTTGGGTTTATTATTATTGCAATCAATAGTTCGTCGATTGTTCTTCATTGTTAGTCCATTTTTAACGCTTGTTCCTCAGCCAAACATATATTTGGTTTTCTTTTATTTGATGTATCATATGACTACTTTATCTTTGAATTTGTATATTTTATTTTTTACTTTATCGATTTTTTACGGCATTACTTTATAAATTATTTAAACTAATTTTCTGTGATTTGTGGGAAAAGGTGCTCTCTACAAAAGGTGTTCAGCCCCTCTTTTTCGGCAACACAGAAAGAGAATTCTATATAGTTACCAGTGTTGCCAGATTTTGGGCGAGCCTATTCTCTTTTTGTCCATGCAATTGTATATATTTAGGTTTTCCCGTTTTTTTTCTCCTTTTTATATAACCCAGTTTTTAAAAATGGCAAATCAATTATTCTCCTTGTACAGTGTAGATATTGTGCAAAACGCTCGAGTTTGATTGGAGATGGATGCTGACGGACGAGATTCTTCGCGTAAATTAACTTTAAATTCCACTAATTTAGCCTAATACTATTATAATAATAATATGGGTACGGCGTATGTGATTTCCCCCTTTTACGACCATTATCCCCATCCCTTTTTTGTTCAAAATTCCCACAAAACGGAAAAAGTTCTCTTCTGGCAACGCTGATAGTGACGGTTACAATTCCTTTGCAAAAATCCAAATTTACCCTATTTTCAAACCGCTCGCAAGGGGTCTGTGGGTTGGTCAGGGGGGCAGGGGTGACTTTTCATAAAGTGCGGCCAATCCCCTTTCTTTTAGGGGGGAGGGTATGGGAGCCACGCTTCCTCTCCCTCAGCCCCGTCCCCAAAATCGTTGTACAAACCGTACCCAAATTTAATAATTATCAAATATCGTGTTAGGTATTGAATTTTGGGTTTCCGCCACACCCCAGCTGATATCTGAAGTGCGAGTAAGAACGTGTGGCCAGACGTTAAAGAAAAATATTGTTCACAGCCAACGTTTTTACTTTTAAATATATATCATCAGAAAATACTGAAAATTCGCTTCAGATAATACGCTCTTTAAAATGCATCTATGCAAGTTTTATGTACAGTATGTAATAAGTAAATAAACTTTTTAAAGTTTCATAAATTGCATTTTACAAAGAACTCAAACTTTTTCAACCGGCTTCAAAAAAGGGGAGGTTATCAATTCTTGGGAGTATTTTTTACAAGCTTTTATTTAACTTGGTCATCTCGCGGAAAT